TAATTTTAATATGAATATGTGAAGAGATTTTTTTTCCTCTTCCTTAGGATTTGCCTTTATTCAGCATCCAAGTCTAATGTTCGAGCAAGAAGTAAAGAATCTATATAATAATATTTTGTCTGATAAGAATTCCTCGGTAAATTTAAAAATACAAGTGTTAAAAAATCTCCAGACCTACCTACAAGAAGAAGATACACGTATGCAGCAGGCAGATAGAGACTGTAAGTGAAAATATATTTTTAAATTTCACAGTATAGCTGTAGTTATGCTACTGTAAGATTCATTTCTTTAAACCAAATATCTAAATTTCCTTTTCTATTAAAGGAATTATGAGAGTCCTTATGGTGAGGTTCATAGCTAGACTTTAGAGTATTCTTAAACTCCCTAAAATAGTTGTGAAATTTTATATGTCTGTAAACATTAACATATTTTGAGGCAGGAGAGGGATTATAGTTCTCATCAGGTTCTAAGGGGTCTCTGACACAGACAAAAAAAAAGATTAACAAACATTGAGGTAGAGTACTAGCTATGACATTTTGTGATTTTGGCTGTGGCCTAATTTGGGAATATTTGGTAAAGTTAATATACATGCTCTTGATATGTGTTTATTGTTTGCTTCCTTTTGTAGGGAAGAAAGTTGCAAAACAGGAAGACTTAAAAGAAATGGGTGATGTTTCCTCAGGGATGAGTAGTTCCATCATGCAGCTTTACCTCAAACAGGTGCTTGAGGCGTTTTTTCACACCCAGTCAAGTGTACGCCATTTTGCCCTAAATGTCATTGCATTGACTCTAAATCAAGGTCTTATTCATCCAGTTCAGGTAAGCATGTTTTATAGCAGCAGCACTTACTATCAGAGCCAGATTAGTTGTCATTTAAAGACACTGTGATTAAAGAATAAGTAGTTCTTTATTCCTCTTAATGTTTAACCTTCTTTGTCCTAATCTCTTAAAAGTCTAAGTTTTATACAATCTCTTAGGTTATCATTACTGCAAAATACTATACATTCATAATAATGTCTTTATTAGGCAGACTTTCAGTTTCTGTTGGTAGAACATGTACTCAAATTACTTTTCTAAGTAGAGGTGATAGATTTGTTTTAATTCATTTACTTTTATCCCTAAGAACCAGCAATATATAATGTCAAGAGGGCTAACCAGGTTTAAGAGTATAATCCGATTAACAATGTGGAGTTTTAGTTCACAAAAAAGTAAATTATTTAATCTGAGCTCAATTTCTTCATCTTTAAGTTGAAGATAACATCAATTACCCAATACCTCACAGCACTGATATAAGAACAAAATAGTACAATGAAGACATATATTCATATCACTAAAGATTGGCAGCCAATGCTGATGTATTTTTTTTTTTTGAGACAGAGTCTCACTCTGTTGCCTGGGCTAGAGTGCCGTGACGTCATCCTAGCTCACAGCAACCTCAAACTCCTGGGCTCAAGCTATCCTTCTGCCTCAGCCTCCCGAGTAGCTGGGACTACAGGCATGTGCCACCATGCCCGGCTAATTTTTTCTATGTATTTTTAGTTGTCCGATTAATTTCTTTGTATTTTTAGTAGAGACGGGGTCTCGCTCTTGCTCAGGCTGGTCTCGAACTCCTGAGCTCAAACAATCCACACGCCTCGGCCTCCCAGAGAGCTAGGATTACAGGCAGGAGCCACCGTGCCCGGCCAATGCTGATGTATTAATATACCACCATCTGATGGGCAGAAGAGTACCATAGACTACAAAAGTGAATTTATTAAATATCCAAAGTCTGTACTCTCCAAGATTTTTATTTTGGCTATATTTCATGGAACCTTTTAAAAAATATGCTATATTTAAATATGCTGTGGTCTTCCTTGTGTCCTGAAACAAAGCACATTAACGAATATTTAGCCTGTTCTTCATGATGACTCTGGTGATCATCATCAAGATCACTTATTATAATGTACAACAGTATGTTGAGACTCTCACCTTTCTAAAATACTTAGGGATCTTTCTTGGTGCTTGTTATTATTCTATCTGCTTTTTTAAATTTCTTTTCACATTTCACACTTACAAAGAAATTGCAAAAGTGATACAGTGAATTCCTTTTTATTCTTCACCTATATTGATAATTTATTAGCATTTTGCCACATTTGCTTTATCTCTTTCTATACATTTACTTTTTTCTGAATCATTTGATAGGAAGTTTCAGATACTATGATTGTTTACCTCTAAACACTTCAGCATGTATTTTCTTCCCCCCTCAAACCCCAAGACAGAGTCTCGCTGGGTTGCCTGGGCTAGAATGCAGTGCAACCTCAATCTCCTGACCTCAAGTGATTCTCCTGCCTCAGCCTCCTGAGTAGCCAGGACTACAGACAGGCATGTGCCACCACGCCTGGCTAATTTTTTTTCTGTTTTTATAGAGATAATGTCTTGCTCTTGCTGGTCTCGAATACCTGACCTCAAGCAATCCTCCCACCTCAGCCTCCCAGAGTGTTAGGATTACAGGCATGCGCCATTGGGCCCGGCCTTCAGCATGTGTTTTCTAAAACAAGGACATAATAAAACTATACAAAAACATAATACAATCATTAAATTTAGGAAATTTAAAATTGATATAATATTATCTAACATATAGTTCATTTTCAGATTTTGCTAGTTAAGCCAATAGTGTTCCTTATAGACTTTTTTTGTTTCCTGATCTGGTACTTAATGCATGATCATTCACTTTATTTAGTGCCATGTCTATATTTTAAAGTCATATTATGTTTATTATTGTTTTTTTCTGGCCGCCTTACTGCTCTTTGATTCAGATGCATTTAACGTAGCAGTGGTATTTCTTAACTTTAGAAGTACAATGAATATGGCTGCTACTAACTATCTGATCCTTGAAGCCACATCTGAAATCAACTTTGTGAAAAAAAATTATATTTTCCTAGCTTTGAGTATGGAAAACAAATTGCTATTTGCCATGTATTATCTTTACAAAGCAAATTCAGTCAAACTTGAAAAATTATTGGTTTATACATTTGTAGTATGTATCATAATCTTGAATAGATAATCTTAGTGTGGGAATATTTTTTTAAAACCTCTAAATTTACATTGAAATTCTTTAAATTTTACCATATCAGTATTTTTGCTGCTTCTCTGGTGCTTTCTTGCTTTAAATTAAATCTAAAGATTTATCAGTTTTAAAATAACACTAAAACATGGCCTTTATAGGAAAGCCTATAAGGTTAAATTCATATATCCCACATATACAAGTTTGACATATGTCAAGATACATTTAAAGCTTTTACTACTGTGATATCTCATAAATCTTTTATTTTTATTTCCAGTGTGTGCCATATTTAATTGCTATGGGCACAGACCCAGAACCTGCTATGCGGAACAAGGCTGATCAGCAGCTTGTGGAAATAGACAAAAAATATGCTGGATTCATTCATGTATGTAGTTTTAAATTGTATAACCTAAATTTAAACATCTTTCTTTAGTAAACCATTTCTATGGTAAATGTCTTGCTCATATTCATAATTAGAATAAAATGTTTTGCTTAGTAGTTACCTTCTGAACGTGCAACTAAGTTTGTCCCCTGAACTGTTTATTCTAGTTTAAAATTAATTCTTAAGATTAGGCTAGAGGTGGCAGTCCAGCAAGCACAATGGACTAAAAATCAGGAAGCATGGGTTTTAGACTCTACTCTGTGATCTTGGCAGCAGCAATTCTGCTGGGCCTCAAATTTTTCTTGTATAAAATGAGGGGATTGTAATAGATGATCTCTAATGTTCCTTCCGGCACTTCATTCTATGATTTTATTATTTTAAATAAGAAAGCTAAATAAAGAAGTGAGCCTCACAATGTAATGTTCAATATATACCTTTAATTTGACTCTTAATTTCCCTGACAAAAATGAGGGTTTTATTGATTTCAGATGAAAGCAGTGGCTGGTATGAAGATGTCTTACCAGGTACAACAGGCAATCAACACGTGCCTAAAAGATCCTGTAAGGGGTTTCAGACAAGACGAGTCCTCTAGTGCTTTGTGTTCACACCTTTACTCCATGATCCGTGGAAACCGCCAACACAGACGAGCTTTTCTTATTTCTTTACTCAACCTCTTTGATGACACAGCAGTAAGCATACAAACTTATTGTTTTAAGAAAATAAATGTTCTAGAAACGTTATGGCTAAAAGTCACCATTTTTTTTAAATATTACAATTTTAGTATGTGATAGCAACTTTATTAAATGTGTTTCCTTAATCCACTAAGTTATTTACAAGGTATGTCATTAAAATTGAAGAGGAAATTTTACATGGGAATGAATAGGAGGAATAAAGTATTATCGTGCTTCCATACTGAGTATCTTATAAATTTTGATAACAGTTCCTTTAAGCCTATGTTTAAATAAGGTACATCACTAAACTATCAAATAAATAAATAAAATGAATTTCTCTCATTTTCTCTACAACTCAAATATTGTTAGAGAATAATAGGTTTTTGGCTGCTGAGATCCCTTATTCACCTTGGCTTCCTTAATGAAGAGCCTGCGTTTGTCTACAGTAGTCCCTTCTTATGCTCAAGGATATGTTTCAAGACCCCTGTGCCCCAGTGGATGCCTAAAACCATGGATAGGATGGAACCCTATATATACAGTCATGTGCTGCTTAACAACGGGAATACGTTCTGAGAAATACATAGATGATTCTGTCATTGTGCAAACATCATAGAGTATATGCTTACACAAACCCATGGTATAGCCTACTACACACCTAGGCCGCCTATTGCTTCTAGGTTACAAATCTGTATGGCATGTTACTGTACTGAATACTGTAGGTAGTTGTAACACAGTGATAAATATTTGTATAGCTAAACATAGCTAAACACAGAAAATATACAATAAAAATATGATACTATAATCTCATGGGACCACCGTTGTATACGTGGTTTACTGTTGACCAAAACACCGTTATGCGACACATGACTGTACTATGTTTTTTTCTATACATACATGACTATGATAAAGTTTATTTTATAAATTAGTTGTAGTAAGAGATTAACAATAATAAAATTGAGCACTTGTAATAATGCACTGTAATAAATGTATGTGAATGTGGTGTCTCTCTCTTGCTCACTCGCTCTCTCTTGCTCTCTCTGAAAATATCTTACTGTCCTATACTCACCTATCTTTGGACCACAATTGACCATGGGTAACTGCAACTGCGGAAAGGGAAACCATGAATAAGGGGGGACTACTGTAATTACAGTTTTGACACTTTTGGCTGTTGTACAAGTTGCACTGGCCAGGACCATAAGCCAAGAAAACAATGTTCTTTTTTTTAAGTTTACCTTTTAATTTGTGTATTCTTTTTACTCAAATATTTATTTGGTGCCTGCTGTGTGTCAGCCATTGTGCTAAGAAGTTAGACATAAAATAGTAAAGACAGATGTGGTATCGGCCCACATAAAACTTACAGATGAATCTATGTGAATGGCAGCCTTAAAAAGATGAGATATTTTTTCTTATTTTAATTACTTGTTAGCTTGACACCAGATTTTCATAACAAAGCAAAATTATAATTACCAGAGTGTAGATAACTCATTAAACCTCTTCTTTTTAAGTACAGCATGAAATGTTTAGAGATATGAACTAGCAAATAAATATTACATCTATTTGCCCAGAATATGGCCAGGCATTGTGGCTCAAGCATATAATCCTAGCACTCTGGGAGGCTGCGGCTGGGGAGGATCACTTGAGTTTGAGACCAGCCTGTGCAAGAACAAGACCCCATCTCTACCAAAGAAAAATAGAAAAAATAATTAGCCCAGGCAACTAAAAATAGAAAAAATTAGCCAGACGTGGTGATGTGCGCCTGTAGTCCCATCTCCTCTGGAGGCTGAGGCAGGAGAATCGTTTGAGCCTGGGAGTTTGAGGTTGCTTTGCTGTGAGCTAGGCTGATGCCATGGCATTCTAGCCCAGGTGACAGAGTGAGAGACTGTCTCAAAAAAAAAAAAAAATACCTAATGCTCATAATATAATTTATCATCACCATTATCGTCATCATATTATCATCATCATCATTAAGCTTGCATTGTGTGTAGGACACTATGTTAAGAGTATAAAATGGTATCATGTAGTCCTCTTGCACTTAGAGGATTTTAACTTCAAGTTGTAGGAATAGGGCACAAAATAAAAATAAAGAAAAAAATAAAAATAGGGCACAAAATAAAAATAAAGAAAATAAATGGTGATTAAGGTTACTATATCCTGAGTACCTCATGGTTTATATTGATGATATTGCTCCAGTCCTTGTCTCTCTCCTGAGCTTCATTCCTATCCGGTTTCACTGTGTTCTATGTCACCAACTGGATATTCTATCATCTCAGTATTTGAAATTCTAAACTGGAAATCTAGCTCTCATAAGGTAGTGCTTTCTTCTGACTATCTCCAACAAAGGATGTCGGAAGAGGAACAGATCACTGAAGGCCTAGAGGTATTAGATGAGAGGGAGCAACTGTATAAAGTAGGAGGGAGAAAGATGTTCCAGGCAGAGGTAAAAAAATGTGAATAAAAATACAAAAATAAGAATGTGTGGGAAATAATGAATAGATTGTTATTTGACTGAGGCAGAAAGATCATATTGAGGCTTAGGATATGGAGGATCCTGTAAATGATGGAAAACCATTGAAAGTGTTTGAATAAAATGGTGAGGACAGGTACCAAAGAGCGTTTCAGGAATGTGAATTTCTCAGCATTGTGTTCATATTGATATTGATGCATGATGATGACAGTAGGGGGAAAAAGAATGGATAGTATGAAAGGAGAAATGTTATAAGGAAGGAGTAAATTAAATGAGACTCTGTGAGAAGAATAGTTAAAGGATAACTGGAATATTTTTATCCTGAGCACTTGAGAGAATAATGGGACTGTTGCTAAAGACAATTTGAAAAGGAGTTGGCTTGAGAAGGACATAGAAGGGCAATAAAGAGCTAGGAAGAGAAAACTAAGGAAGAAGAAGGTTTCAGGAGGGAAAATTGGATAATAGTGTCAGATGCTACTGAGAAGTCAAGGAGAATAAAAAGTAAAAAGCGTGGGATGATTGGTGAACTTGGTGGACAGAAGCAATCAAGCAGTGAGGGACAAAAGCAGATTTAATTTAAGAGTAGTGGGGAAGACATGGGAGGAACAGTCTACTCTTTTAGGAAGTTCGAATTTGAAAGGAAAAAACAATATAGGACTTTTATGACCAAAGTTGAAGAATTTCAGAGTTTTGAAAAGGTTTGTTCAGTTTTATCAGGAAAAAGTACATACATATATGAATTACAGTGTTAAAACTAATAGATGAGGTAGGGTTCTGTGTCTGCATTTTTTCAACTGTAACATATAGGTGTTGATGCATATTTTAAAATAAATAGAGTGACAGTAATATTATCATAAATAGCAAGTTTACTCCATCTGTCGTATGGGATTTTTGTTGTTGCTACTGCTGCTGTTAGGTTTTATGTTGTTTGGATGGTAGGGGAGGGTAGATGGTAAGAGGGAGTGTTTTTTGGTTGCTATTTGTTCCTTCTTTCTTTTTTTTTTTTCCTTGACCTATAAATGTTCAATGCCTTTTTGTTTATATTCTGTATGATCATCAAATGCTGAAAGTCTCTGTTTAAGTTATATTTTCTTTAAAGCAAACAACTAGTACTAGCTGTAATTTTTCTCTTAAATTTTGCCTACCTCAGAGTTTTTATAATGTGAACCTGGTAGCACTGTCAAAACAACTCTGACATTCTAAATTACATATACAGAGGAAACTGACAAATATTTTATGAGTACATGAATTTTGCATTTTTTTTAAACCCATGTTAGTACTATAATTGCTACTTATTTTTGAGGGTGGAATAGTATCTGTGTGTAACTGATCTCCATATGAGCTAAACTGTTAGAAGCACAATGACATAATTATGAACTCATGTATACTTTCTGATGTGGTATGGATTTATCATAAAGATTCCAATACTCTGTAAGAAAACTTCAAGGATTTTCACTTAGGTGCATTGAAAAATTTCATCTCTTCCCTCTTGAGGTAGCATGGTGTAAGTCATTATAAAATCTCCTAAAATGGGTATAAGATTATTTTATAAAATCTATTTCTCTTCCCCTTCCTCCCTTTGTCTTACACCTGTCTCCCTCTACCTCTTCCCTTTGCCCATCTCTCTTTTTCTCTCCCTTCCCCTTCTCTTTCTGTCTTTGTCTTTCTCCCTCATTCTGTGTCTCTTTGTAACATTAACTGAGGTGAAAGTACCCTGTAATATTTTTTTCTAAAAAAGCTTTTTCGTTGGGTTTCTAGATTATCCACTAAATGTGTGTACCTTTTTTTAAAATTTACAGAAAACAGAAGTGACTATGCTCTTGTATATAGCAGACAATCTAGCCTGTTTTCCATACCAGACACAGGAAGAGCCGTTGTTTATAATGCATCATATAGACATTACACTCTCAGTTTCTGGTAGTAACCTACTGCAGTCATTCAAGGAGGTAAGTTACACACATTACTATTCTTAATGTATCTGTCAAAGTTCAGGCATGCTATTTTCAATGTTTTGTTTTTCATTCTTTTCACAGACATATAAAATCTTTCTAAATGAACTTACTGAAATCTTGGGCAGTACTTGAATTGAGAGATGAAGTGGGTTACCATTTTATTTCTGTTCAGAAAGATCTAAAGCCATTTCACTTCTGGATTATTTAGGGTACACTTTTTATACATATGTGGGTTGTTCTATTGATAAGCCATCCCACTTCTTTATTTTTCTCACTTTATGCACTGACCTTAAGTGTTTTGCGTCCACTCACATATCCATTTAAATCCGGTTTTAAAAGCACCTTGCTATTCTGTAAATCTAGCAATACTGTAGATGCCACCATTACACATGAAAATATATAGATGGAGATGATTAGATAGCTTATTTACAAGGAAACAAAAAATGTGGTCTTTTTATCCTTCAACAACAGCATAATAATGGAGTTGGCATATTGTGTGCCCAAAATCTTTACTAAATTTCTTGTTATAAATCTTATGTATGTTCTGTCATGGTTTTTAAGAGAAATGTAATTGGTTTAATTATAGAAGTACCCTGGTGTAGTGCTAACATAATGAGTGCTTAGTAAATTCTTTACAAATTGAGTGGAGTAGTCTCATGTGCCTGATAATACCAGTAGATCTCATTTTATAAAATTGCAGTGCTCAAAACTCAGCCTTGTCAAATTAGTAAATCAGAGAAATTATTTTAGATACCTCCTAAGGGCTGGAATTATAGAGGTATCTAAACCCTTACTACTTGAAGTGTGGACCACAGACCAGCAGCACCAGACTCACCTGAGAGCTTGTCAGAGCTGCAGAACCTCAGGTTCCACCCCAGAGCTGCTGAAACAAAGTCTGCATTTTTAACAAAATTCCTGGAATATTAACATACACATTAAAGTTTGAGAAGTTAATAATTTTCTAGGAACTTTAGTCATCATATTCTCTTATTTTACATCACTTACTGTTGTGAATGTACTTGTAAATGTTTGTCCTATTTTATCTAACAGTTATGTTTTGAATAATTGCTTTTGTAATTTGGTTCCCCCCTACACTTGCTTAACTTCAGTTGACTTTGTTTCTTTCTAAGAGCTAACATCTTTATAAAGTACAAAGAAATATGATTTAAGTATTCAAGGAATGTTGTGTATTATCTTGCTGAAAAGTTCTTGAAAGGGAGAGTTTGATAGAAGCTAGGGATGTTCACATTATATTGTCATTTAAATTATAATTACTGCTTTTTCTCTATAATAGCTTCTATGTACCAAATTGATACTTTGATAACTAATTTATCTTTTATTACTATCCTTATAAGAAAATAGTTTCCCTTTGAATGATATTTCAGAAGGATTATTTTGGAGGGAATGGTTACAGGGGAGGGAGGAGTGGGTATTATATATGATTTTATTTAGTCTTGGAATCTAATTTTTCCCACAAGGATTACATCTCCAGTTGTTTGTAGAAAGTCAAGAGGTTTATAAAATAATAGTTTAAGGAAGCTTTTTGAAGCCGTTGAATGGAGCATGCTTATATTTGTTAGTGGTATTTTGTTTTTATTGTGTCTCAAACAGAATAATTTTCTCTTTCAGTCTATGGTAAAGGACAAAAGGAAAGAGAGAAAATCATCACCTAATAAGGAAAATGAGTCAAGTGAGAGTGAAGAAGAAGTTTCTAGGCCTCGGAAATCACGGAAACGTGTAGATTCAGATTCAGATTCAGATTCAGAAGACGATATAAATTCAGTGATGAAATGTTTACCAGAAAATTCAGCTCCTTTAATTGAATTTGCAAATGTCTCCCAGGGTATTTTATTGCTTCTGATGTTAAAACAACATTTGAAGAATCTATGTGGATTTTCTGATAGGTAAGATTATATAACAGTCAGAGAAAAAACTTTACTCTGTTCAGATAATAAAGAAATATGAAATAGCCAGGTGCAGTGGCTCATGCTTGTAATCCTAGCACTTTGGGAGGCTGAGGCAGAAGAATTGCTGAGGACAGGAGTTCGAGACTAGCCTGAGCAAGAGTAAGACCCTGTCTCTACAAAAAATAGAAAAATTAGCTGGGCTTGGTGGTATGTGCCTATAGTCCCACCTACTTATGGGGCCAAGGCAGGAGGATCACTTGAGCTCAGGAGTTTGAGGTTGCAGTGAGCAATGATGACACCACAGTACCCTAGCCCAGGTAACAGAGGAAAACCCTGTCTTAAAAAAAAAAAAAAAATACAAAACTCAATTCTGATTGCATGCTTACTTTAATATTAGAAATATTTCTTTTTTAAAAAGGAGTATTTTCCTTTTTGTTTCTATACAGTATTCTTCTATGTGATATATGCCATAATTTATCCATTCTCTTATTGAACAAGGGAGAAGAAATATATTTCTTTACTTGGTGACAATGTCTTACAAATGAAAGGATTCACTGTATTGATTTCCTTAAAAAGCCCTTATTACAGAATCAGGCTAACTTTGAAATAGATTACAAATTTAAAAGAGATATAAAATAACAGTTGTATACCAACTAGGCTGAGCTGTAACAGAACCCAGAACCCAAATAGTCTTTACTCTATAAAGTAAGAGATAGAAAAAATATTTATTGTTGTGAGCACCCTGTAATTTTACTCACCATTAGTTATTAAAGTTATCCTTTTTCTGCCTCTACCTATGGAATTTTGGTGGTTTTTCATATTCATTGAAACCTTAGATTAGAAATTACGGAGTCATATGTTAAGAGGGGACAGATAATGAGAGTACAGTGGACTTGGTCAGTGACTAGCTGGAAAGAGTATATTTCATGTAAATAGGTTATTTCATGTCATGTAAATGGAGCTTTCTCAGGTTTCTGTAGCTTGTTGCCACAGAAGAAAGTGGGGACTATGGGTAGAGCTCCCACTTTTTCAAAGATACTAGAAATCCAGATTTTATGAGGAATATCTTGATATTAAATATTGGCAGCTAATTCAAAATAACCGGCCGGGCATGGTGGCTCATGCCTGTAATCCTAGCACTTTGGGAGGCCGAAGCAGGAGGATTACTTGAGACCTGGAGTTCAAGATCAAAATAACTTAAAACTTTGTAAGGTCTGGGAGCAGTACAAGGAATTGGAAAGAGTTTTAAGCCGGGTTGCTAATAATCTCAAACAGTTTTATAAACAATCATTCTGGCTGCTGTATAGAGAATAAATAGGTGGGGGGTTCGAAAAGTAGAAGGTAAACCATTTAGTTGGTACTGAGCTGCCCTACAGTCACTATCAGGGCATTACAAAATAAACATAAGAAACTAATTTTGTTAAAATGATACTTCTTACCTACTTAATTTCTCCAAACATGTTGCTTGTATAGATTGAGATATCTTTTTAAGTTGTTGGTTTTGTTTTCCCAAAACAGTAAAATTCAGAAATACTCTCCATCTGAATCTGCAAAAGTATATGATAAAGCGATAAACCGAAAAACAGGAGTTCATTTTCATCCAAAACAAACACTGGACTTCCTGCGGAGTGATATGGCTAATTCCAAAATCACTGAAGATGTGAAGAGGAGTATAGTAAAACAGTATCTAGATGTAAGTAGTAAAACCAAAAGTATTTCTTTCCCATAAGGACTTTTTTGAAAAGTAAATTTGGGGTGTAGGGAAGAAGGCTAGCCACCTCCTTTACATTAAGTGCAAGCTTTATGAACTATCAAGATTATTTTTCTCTGTATAGTTTTAATGAGTTCCTTTAAGCTTGCCTTGCCCATTGCACCCATTGCATCATAATCTTTTCTCAGGAAACAATAGCCCACTGATAATTTTACTCAAGCAAAAGTGAAAGAATATAGGAAAATATATGAGTGTGTATTATAGTCAATACCTGGTAGCCTCAGGGGATTGGTTCCAGAACCCCCACAGGTAACCAAAATCCACATGTGCAAGTCCCTTATATAAAAGGACATAGTATTTGTGTATAACCTATGTACATCCTCCCATACACTTTAAATCATCTCCAGATTACTTATAATACCTAGTACAATGTAAATGCTATGTAGTTGTTATAGCACATTGTTTTTCATTTGTATTATTTTTTATGGTTTTTTCCTCCAAATATTTTTGATCCATGGTGGGTTGAATCCGCAGATGCGGAACCCATGGATATGGAGAGCTGCCTGTATTTTTAATCCAATGGATTACATGGTTTATAGTTCATAAAAGGTAAAACTGTGAACAGTCATCCTCTTACCCTGTTTGGCCTATCTTTTATATACTTAACAACTGTGTGAATGTGTATGTATAAAATGTGCTTTTAAAACATCTTTAAGAATAGGAAAATTTATAGAGACAGAAAATAGAATAGAGGTTACCCTGGGGAAGGGATGAATGAGGAGTTATTGTTTAAATGGTATAGAGTTTCTGTTTGCAGTGATGAAAAGCTCTGGAAATGGTTAGTGGTAATGGTTGTACAACATTGCGAATGCCAATGAATTGTACACTTAAAATGGTTAAAACGGTAAATTTTGGCATGTATATTTTATCACAATAAAATAATTTTTTTAATATTTTTGAAATATCTGTAGAGGACTGTCCTCAAAATAAAAATGAAGTTTTATATTTTAATCTACTTAAAGCAAGTAGCTGAACATAAATACAGTTTTTTGGACCAAGAGTGGAATCTGCACAATGGTTTTGATATTATTCCTAGACTTCGCAAACATTATACTCTGAATTAGAAAAATATTTTAGTTCTTATTTAAAATTCTTAAACACCCTTTGCTTCCTCTTGTATCCTCTTATCTCAGTAAAGAGCAAAGAGGGCAGAGAACTAAAAGATGTCTGTCAGTAATTATTATCACCTGGTTGTTTGATGACTTAGACCAAGGATCAGTAAACTATGGCTTATGGGCCAAATCTAGCCCATTGGCTGTTTTTGTAAATAAAATAAAGTTTTATTGAAACATCTATGCCCCTTCATTTTTGTATTGTATGGCTGTTTTCATATTACAGTGGCAGAGTTAAGTAACTGTGACAGAGACTGTGTGGCCTGCAAAGGCCAAAATATTTCCGATCTGGCCCTTTATAGAAAATGTTTAGCCCCTGACTTGGACAATAACTAAGGCATATTTCACCCGCACCAAACAACTGCCATAGAAAACATTTAGGAATTTGATAGTCTTCCTTGAAATATTTACTTAAAACTCTGAATTAGTATCTTTTTTTTTATAGTTCAAACTTCTCATGGAACATCTGGACCCTGATGAAGAAGAAGAAGAAGGGGAGGTGTCAGCTAGCACAAATGCTCGGAACAAAGCAATTACCTCGCTGCTTGGAGGAGGCAGCCCTAAAAATAATACAGCAGCAGAAACAGAAGATGATGAAAGTGATGGGGAGGATAGAGGAGGAGGCACTTCAGGGGTGAGGCGGAGGAGGAGTCAACGTATTTCGCAGCGTATTACGTAAAATGATTTTTATGTGCTTATATATGTCAGTCTATTAAATGTACACCAAGTAATGTAATACTTATAAGAGAAAACATTTTGTAGATAGAGATTCTCTACTTAACCATTTATACATCCTTTTGTAGAAAGTTTAACATAAAAGACAATAAAAAAACAGAAATGAGATTTATCCTACATAAAGGGTTATTAATTTTTCTTTGGATTGTATTAATGCGTGTTATCCTTTTTATTGTTGCTAAGTTTTATGCAGCTTTATGGTTCATATGTATATATAATTTTATATATCAATAAGAGTAAAGACACGGGTACAAATTAAGAGTTATATGGTTTTACAAGTATATGTTAACCCCTTGGCGCTGGCGGTCACGGTGCGTCTCATTGCCGGCAATGGAAGTGTGCCGGGAAATCCCAACTCCCGGCGTCAAGGGATTAAAAGCAATAAAAACAATAATTTCACTAAAATTCTTTTGTGTAACACTTGGTCTTTTTTCCCCCTCCCAATGTTTTAGTCATTGAGAAGGTCAAAACGAAATTCAGACTCTACGGAGTTGGCAGCACAGATGAATGAAAGTGTTGACGTCATGGATGTCATCGCTATTTGCTGTCCAAAGTACAAAGATCGACCACAAATTGCAAGAGTAGTACAGAAAACCAGCAATGGCTTCAGTGTTCAGTGGATGGCAGGCTCCTACAGTGGCTCCTGGACTGAGGCTAAGCGCCGTGATGGCCGCAAACTGGTGCCTTGGGTAGACACTATTAAAGAGTCAGACATTATTTACAAAAAAATTGCTCTAACAAGTGCTAATAAGCTGACAAATAAAGTTGTTCAGACTTTAAGATCCCTGTATGCCGCCAAGGATGGGACTTCCAGCTAATGAATTTGTACATGCAGCCAAATTTACAGGAATTTTTTTAAAAGGCAGAAAAACTTGAAATATCAACATTCTGGCAAAAAAAAAAAAAATCAGTTTTATGAAGAGTAAGAGTGGAACCTGGGATGCAGGAACAAAAGAAGGAAATGTTGGGCAAACATTTTTGTGGGAGCTCCCTTCGCTGTTGTGCAGCAGAAACAGATTCTCAGTTCATTTTTACTCCCACTGTATTATAGTTTAACAAAAATTGTTTATATCTTGGAAAAAAAAACTTTCTGTTTAAAAAAATAAACAAGTGAATGTTGGAAATTAGTCTGTTAATGTTCTTAATAAAGTGTTCTTGGAGTTTAACCTAGCAGCGGATGGCTTTCTTTAGCTTAGCCCAGTTTCCAGGGAAGCATTGTTTTTCCAGGCTGTAAAATGGCAGAATCTCCTGGATATATAATTTATTATGTTGAAAAAAAAAAAAAGCATGCAGTATCTATGACCTATCTGCAGAAGGAGTTTTTGTAAATGTAGATTTTGATGTATTAGGTCACCCTGAAAACAATACAAGAAAAGGGATCCCCAGTCAATCTGGTGGAGCGAATACTGCAATAAATTTTTTTACTTCTCTTTGTTACTTGTCTGTTTCCATTTGAATTTCTTATTGTAAAAAACCTGTTTAAATCCATTTATATTATTTTGCAGTCTTTTATGTAAATTTATTATAACACTGGTTTTCAAAGCAAAACATAAAATATTGTTTATACAGTTTGTATAGGCTGACTTCTGAATAATTGGTATCTATTATTTTCATTCCCGTAAGAGGGTGTAAACAGTTAACTCCAGGGTTTTATTGTATTCTGCAATATTTAGTATTAACTATATATGATTTAGCACTGTGCCAAACACATTTTCCAGAGTACATTTTGATATAAAAAGAAACTATAGTTTATTCCTTGTATGCTTCAATTTCTTTCTAGTGATGTCATGATGGTGATATTTTTTAAAACTTTGATAAAGTTAACAATCCTGCTATTTTGGAAAACCAGCATTTCTCTTAGTTAAAATGATGGCTTGTTATTTTAGAAATAGAGTTGAATATGACACTTCATAATTACATTCACAACATTTTTCACAAATTATTTTTTAATGCTGAAAAGAGTAATTTTACTTATGTTTATTTTCTATTGCAAAAGTTTTGTCATACATTTTTGGGAAGAGTTATTCATACATTAGTTACTACAAATATAATATATTGACTAAATTGAAAGGGAGGTGTTTAATCATTTGATTTGCATAGTTGACACTTAGAAAAATAGTAATGTCTAAAATTTACAGTGGATGAGGTCTGTTCTAAGTTTAATTCTTTTTAAAAATGTGTACTTATTTTTAAATCACCTCAAAAAATTGACCTCTAGAATTCTGTTCTATGAAATTGGCAAATAAATGAAGGTATTCAATTTGTGAGGAAGAGTGACATTGCCACAAAATACCTTTTTGTGACACCTATTAAACCACTATGAAAATAACTTCAGGATCTACTTCCTATGTGGAATTCTTTCAGAATGCTTTCTTGAAGGAAATGGGTTCTCACTCTTCATTTTCTTCCCCTTAATTGCATGTTGCCTTCTCCATTTTACTGTGAATTCTTGGGGACAAAACTAGGGTTGTTTTTTTTTTCTCTTTTATTTTATTTGTTTATATCAACAAAGGATTTGAGGTAGCTTATGAAAATAAGAAAAATATACCAATAAGAGTTAGAGAAAATATAAGAATATATATAACGTCCAGCCCAGAGATTACTAAAAAATAGAGATGTGAGTAAAAAAGCCAATTTTTAGTGCTGTGTACCTGACAATGCATGCTGTTATTTAATCTCACAAAAACTTGTTAGTTACATATTTTGTCCATATTTTGTAGATAAGGAAAACAGGCTTGGAAGGATTCAGTAATTTGTTAATAAATGTCATAATAGGGACTTAAACCTGGAATTGGAGTAATTGTGTCTCACTAGGCTAATTGAACATCAAGCATTAAGGAAGATGATCCTTATTGAAAGTAAACCAGTTCCTAGAGTACCATACTTGGGACCCTATATAAAATAAGCTTTAGGAAATAGATGTACAGTAGTAAGACTTGTGTTGCCTCAGTTGATCATAGATGAATTGCTTTGGATGCCCTTCATTGGAAATTTAGGAATTTTAGAAATTAAGTTTTAGGATTTTTCATATATTCTAAGCTTCAATATTTTATCTGTTAATATAAGCCAAATGTTGACATGACACATAAGCCTTAACTCTTAAACATATGAACCAAAGTTTACCAAAAGTTGGTAATTTCTCAAAGGTGATTTTTTTAGGTCTTAACACTAAAATAAGTTAAGGCCTTGGCAGTCAAATATACAAAATCAAACTTTTCAAGTATATCAGGGATTTACAAAGTTCAGTCTTAATCTATAGTTTGTTGATTTACTGTATGTTAACTAATCTTGCCATGTTTATTTACTTGCATTGAAGAGAAGATACATTTAAAGTACCTCTTTTTAAATATATTAATATGAAATTTTAGCCTTTCCTCGCTGAAATTGTTTATTGTTTTAACAAAGAATGTCTGGTTTTATAAGATAATCCATACCAAAATACACATGACAGAAAATTCAGTGATCTCTAGAATTTTCTAGAATTCAGTAATCTGTAATAGAAGAAATGCTGAGCTTTTAAAAAAAATACTCTGTTGATATGTTGAG